GGGCCTTCCCACCAAGCTGCATCCCCCAGCCCTTTTTGATTATGAGACAGGGTCTCACAAAGTCTCCAGTTGCTCAGGTTGGGCTTGAGCCTGTGACCCAACTGCCACCTCCCAGAGAGCTTCGACTATCACTGTGAACCACGAGGCCAGCTCCCATCACTAAACTTCTATTTAGCAGTCTCTATAACATCAAATTAACTTAAAATGATTGATGTCTTTCTCTATGAGAGCCAACCTTTAATCTGTCTTGCCCACTGCTGTATCCATAGTGCCCTGCATGCTCTCTGACTAAAGAAGGTGCCTAAATATTTGTTGCATGAATAAGGGAAAACATGAAGAAGACTGAGGGGGGGGGGGAAGCAAACTGGAAAAACAATCCAGAACAGGAACTGGGCGTGGTGGTGCAAACCTGTAATCCTAGCACTTGGAAGCAAGAGGATCCTCGAGAGTTCGACACCAACCTGAGCTACAAACTGAGCTCAAGACCAGCCGGAACTGCAGAGCGAGACCCTGTCTCAAAAAGACCAAAACAAAACAAAACAAAAAGTCGGAAATGAGCAGCCACTAACAGGAGTCCAAGGTCAGGAAGAATGATGGCTGAGGTGCAATTCCACGCTGGGTGTGCTGTGAGGGCTCACATTCAGAAGCACAGCAGAGGTAGGAGGCAGATTACAATAAGCTAATGAGGAAAAGGGAAGTTCAAGTGGAAAGGGCAAAGGGAAGGAAGAATACAGAGCACTATTTTGAGAGTAAGAAAACAAAAAGAAGGGACTTGTCAGTACAGAGGATATTTGCTCATGTTTTTGAACTGAAGGGTGAACTGTGTGAAAGGAGTGAAATCAAAAAAGAAAAAGGCTTCTAGGACAAGATCCTAGATGTTACAGGAGGAAATGGGATCCTAAAGTCCTATCTGTTTTTAAAAATCTCATGTGGGGCTAGGGATTTAACTCAGTGCCATAAGCTTCTGCCTGGCAAGCGCAAGGTCATGAGTTCGATCCCCAGTACCAAAAAGATTATTTTTACATAAAAATTAAAGTCCCATGTGATTACAATGTAATATCTGTTTTATGACTGGAAATATCTACCTCCTGGAAATAATTCATGGGCATAATTCTTATGAAAGAAACTGGTCTGTAAAAATCATTAATCTGTACATACCTTTCTGGGGTATCTTAAGGCAGAGCACACATTTTCAGGGAGTTCAGAGAACAAAGTGCAGAGAAAAGGAAGGAGACAGACAGGAAATGTTCTAATGAAGAAGCAAATGGAGCCCCAAAATGACTGAAGCGTATGCAGATGTTCTCTGTCCCATCTGTGTAGCTGTTCCCTAAGTTTGAAACTTTTTACAAATGTAAGAGAAATCGTATACAAGTACAGAAAGCAGCCTCCAGGATGACATTATGTCATACAGTCAAATTTCTCTGACAACTATCACACCATTTGTGAGGAGGTTCCTCGCTGTCCATCCACAGCTGACAGAGGGACTGGATACCCTGTGTAGCATCTTACCACAGAAGAGAAAACCACTCAGTGTGGTACCAGTAGTCACAAAAACAAGTATTTGGAAGAAGCAGGTGGAAGAAGTAACTCTGTCATTAGAATACCACTATATTTTGAAGTGCACAGATTACAAAGAAAACCTAACAAGTTCATTTCTTGAAAATTAGGATTAAAAAAAAAAGCTGAAAAGCCGGCCATGGTAGCTCATGCCTGGAATCCCAGCAGGAGGCTGAGGCAGGAGGATTGTTGTGAGTTTGAGACCAGGCTAGGCTATAAAGTGAGCTCAAGGCCAGCCTAAACTGTACAGCGAGACCCTGCCTCAAAAAGATAAAAACAAAACAAAACAAAACAAAACAAAAAAACCTCATCTCTAACAGAGCAAAGGAATGGAACTTAAAGCCTTGGCTTGTGGCGAGAGAGTTGGCTAAAATCCTAAGAACAATAACCCGAACTGAAAATACACTATTATTAATTATATTTGATTCAAAATGTCTGCTGAGCCGGGTATGGTGGTTATGCCTATAATCCCAGCACTTGGGAACCTGAGGCAGGAGGATCTCTTTGAGAGGACAGCCTAGGACACACACTGAGTTAAAGGCCTGCCTGGACTACATCATGAGACCCTATTTCAAAAAAGCAAACAAATATACATACACAAAAAAGATTGCTGATTAGGTAACTCTGACTAGGAAATAACTGCTTACCAAAGAGTTCCATAGCACACTTGCAACAAAAAAAAACTACAAACTAACAATATTTGGTCTGGAAGGGATATTAAGGAGATCAAATACACATATGGAGCTCACAAAAATAACACTGAATAAGGAGGGCTCCTCCTTTCCATCTCTCTCTCTCTGCAAACTGTGCTCTCCAATCAAAATACTCCAGTCCAGAGCTTCCCACTTTCAAGGACCTACTAAAATGAAAACCACCACTGCTGCCTTAACAATGCTTATCTTCTGGACACGATTCCAAGGCCAAACGGCTCAGCTAGAGTCACTCAAAACCTGAAGTAAAAGCGTCCCTCCTCTTTCAAGAGACCAAACCCTGCTCACCTTAACTCATGAACTTATGGCTCAAGGTTTAACATGGCAAAGAGCAACCGGACAAGGCACATCAGATCAGGCTCTGACACCCAGAGGACTCACTTACAAGACAAATTTAAATCCGCCAGGCATGGTGATTCATGCTGTAATTCCAGCATTTGGGAGGCTGAGGCTAGAGGACTGCAGTGAGTTTCAGACCAGCCTATACTGCATACTGATGCCCCATCTCAAACAAACAAACAAACAAACCCAAAACAAAAAGAAACTCAAATCCTAACATGCTTCTCTTAAAAACTTCTCTTCAAAAATTAGGTATACAAAAAAAATTGGGTATACACCCAATTTCTCTCCAATGATACAGCTTTAAAAAAAAATCAAACAGGTTCCAAATTCTTATAATTTTAAAGATAAATTGAATCATCACTAGTATACTTTCTAGAGGATGTTCAGGACAACTTTGTGGATAAAACCATGATTTACGAATTTTCATTATTTATTTTAATTGGAATGATCCATTACGCTTAGAAGTTTTTTCTTAGGACTATAGGTGTAGCTCAGTGGCACAGCACTTGCTTAGCATTCTGTTTGAGGTTCTCCACTTGAACCCAGAACCTTAAAAAAGTCTTTCCTTAAAAAAAATTAAACAAAACACAAAATAAAAATGTTAAGAGATATAGCTCGGTGTGAAGCCCCTAAGTCCAATCTCAGTATAACCAAAGCAGTCTTACAAAAGTAGCTCATGTAGTTAAGCCATTTTGCTTTCTGAGGTGAGGTATAGGACAGGTTACTGAGTAAAGCACCACCAAGTTTAGTAGTGAGCATTCAGCAAACACACACCAAGGGACTACCATGTGTACAAGACTCTGAGCCCAAACCCTCTATGCCTACAGGAGCTTACAGTCTCTTCGGCAAACTGTGACTGATGTAATGTGTGACTATGCACTAAAATAAACAGCACAGGCACTACATCGATACACACTTTGACACAGAAGACTGCAACTGTTGTGGGTTAGGGTGGTGAGAAACTAGTTGTAAAGCAGAGGAAGGAGATGAAAGGGGACTGGCAGGATTCTAAAAGGTATTGGGAAAGGTCCTGCAGGCGGCTTTCTAGTTTATAAAATACTTTAAACATCTATACTCATTCTTTTGAATCTTATAAGAATCCTCATAAAGTCCTACATACTGTAGTTCACAGACAAGAAAATAAGGATAAGAAATCCAAACCAGCAGATACAGTAAAAACGAAATCTGGGTTTGAACCCAAGTAATCAGTCTTCCAAGTCCAGCATTCTTGCAAAGAATAATTCACAAAGAGCAGAAGATCTATGGGAACCAACAAAAGAGGGCTGAGGTCATACTGGTCTTGGAGAGTGGGGAAGAGACTGAACTTCAGCACCACCAACAACAGAAGGATTCTTAGCATTTAGAGAGGCAAGAAGAAAGGGACTAAAAGCCCAAGGTCTACTTAGGTTAGTTACTATAATATCCAGATGAGCGATAATAAAAGATATGAATCAAAATTACATGGAAGAGCCTGGCATGGTGGCACACACCTGTAATCCCAGCACTTGGGAGGCTGAGGCAGGAAGACTGCCATGAATTGGAGGCTTGCATAGGCTACATAGTAAATTCAAGACCACTGTGGTCTACATAGCAAGATTCTGCCTCAATTTAAAAAAACAACAAAAAGCCAAAATCACACACACACAAATGGAAAAAATCACAGCAGTAACATAGTAACATCTGTTCTAAACTTTAAACTACCAAGAAATGCCACACTACAGTAACAAAATAAAACCAAAAAATACAGACAGGTAAACCATATGGTGGTGCACGCCTGCAATCCCAGCACTGGGGAGGAGGCAGGAGGATTGTCAGAAGTTCCAGGCCAGCCTAAACTATACAGTGAGTCCAAGGCCAGACTGAACTACAGAGTGATGCCCTGTCTCAAAAACAAACAAAACAGAACAACAAAACACACACGTACACAACTTCTTCTCTCTTTTTTCGTCAATTTCAGGGACGAAAAAAATTTAACCAACAAACTTCAGTAATAACTTCCGAAGCGCACAAGGTGTAGCCATTTTCTAACAATGACATGATTTTAAACAGGCTTCCGAGGCGAATCCGGAACTGTCAACAATCTCACAGGACCCGCGAACTGACGCGTTGCAGGGCTGCGTACACCGGGCGCCGGCCCGCGACGGCGCCGGGGATCCGATTCTCCCATCGGGAAGCGGCCGCGCAAGGCCGGTTGAGTTCCGCTTCCAGCACCGAGCCCGACGGAGAGCAGAGACCCGACTGGCATCCGCAGGCGCACGAGGCCAGGCCCGGGGTGGCTCAGAGTCGGGGCTGGGAGGAATCCCTCCCCGCAGGTGACAGCCCTGCGCGCTGGCCCGGGACCCCGCGGGCAGACCCGATCGGCGGCGGCTCCCGGGGAGGGCGTCCGCTTACCGTGGCCGGGCGGCCGTGCTCCGGGCCGTCGGCGGCGTCCAGGCGCGGGGCCGGGGCTGGCGCCGGCGCGGCGGCGGGTGGCTGCCGGTGCTTGCCGGCGCGCTTGGCCTTGGCCTGGATGCAGCGTTGGTGCAGGGCGAAGGTGTGCTGGCGCTCCAGCTCCAGGCGCTCGGGTGACACGGCTTCGTAGCGGGCCTCGCAGGTGCTGTGGTGGCGCCGGCACAGCTCGATGCGCCGGCGGAGGCGCTCCATGACGGCGCTGTGCCGCGGCAGCGCGAACTCCGCCATGGGGCAGGTGGGCAGCACCATGGGCCGCGGGCAGCACGGGCCGGGCCGGAGGCCGGGCCTCTCGGGGCCGGCGGACACGGAAGGCTCCCTCTCCCCGGCGGCCCGGCCCGCCTTACGGCCGCGCCATGCTCCCGCGCGCTGCGGGGCGGGGTCGCGCGCGCCGGCCGGTCTTCTTCCTGCCCCGCTCGGCCCGAGTCGGGCCGGCGCTCGCTAACCACCTCAGGCCTCGGCCTGTCCCCTCCGCCGCAGCCCCATTGTTTTCCGCGCTGCCGCCGCCGCCATCTTAAAATTGTTTTCAGAGCTCTCGGAAGAAGGCGGGGCCATGGCCGGCGACCTCGAGTCACGGATGACTGACAGGAACCTCGACCAATCAGAGGACTAAGGAAGGCCTCTCGAGGGCGTGGGGAAGAACACGTAAGCAATGCACTGTCGTACTGTATTTAAAAGGAACTCTGAAGCGGTGGGCGAAGGGAAGCCCCTGGGCGGGGCCATCCGTGACTGACAGGAGGCCGTCCGCGAGGAACAGCGTTTCACCGCCCCAAGGGGGCAGGCCCTTCCGGGCCCCAGGGAAAGCCGGGCGGGCGGCTGACCGCCGGTAGCGGGCGAGCTTGGCCCGCCGCACGCGGCTGCCGACCGTCTTCCATCGCTACGTTCCGCTGACGAGACTTCAGGCAGCCACGCTGGTTTTGGCGTTAGCCGCTTCCTTCTACGTCGCAGCTTCTACGCAGCTCCAGCACGGGCCGGAGCGTCCCGGTGGGCAGGTTTCCGCCGACGCCGCCCTGACCCCCGGGGCCGTGCTCTCTGGTCCCTGGCGCGCGCAAGCCGGGCGACTGCCCACGAGGAAGCGCAGAAGAGGGGGCGGCGACCGCTGTTAGCGTGGGCTGGGACTGCGCGGACGTCGCTGGGTAAGGCCGGGTCACGCCACGGAGCTGACAGCAGGGCTCCGGCCGCGCGCTGTGGGGTGCAGACCGCTGTGGGGTGCAGGGTCTGCGGGAGACGGTGGCAGTGCGCGAGGCCCTGCTCGTTCCTGGCTGCGGGATTCTAGGCCTTAGAAGACGCCACTGCAGCTCGTTTTAATTTTCTAACTTACTAGGTCTTATAGAAAGCTTTTATTTTAAAATAAAAAATACACTAAGCCAAATGTGTTTATACAAACACAGTAGAAAAGCAGACATTTTATTGTTTTTAGTGGAGGAGGTGGGCTAGAAGGCCAAAGTGCCAAGAGATGATGAAAGCCAAAATCCAGCCGTTTTTTTGTCTTCAAACATAAAATTTACACCAGAATTAAAACTTTTTCCTTGGGGGGAGGAGGGGAAGAGTGCTAGTTACAGCCTCACACATGCTAGGCCAGTGCTCTACCAATGAGCTACACCCCAGCTCTGAATAAAAGTGACTATAATGTTACTATAAAAATGGTTCCTGTAAATCTTAAAGAATATCATCTACAAATTACTACACATTAGCAACATGTCCTATTTTTCTAAACTACTATCCCTATTATACAAATCACTGAACCAGAGGCAAGACCTAAATACAAGACTAAATCAAACTCACCTGAGATAAATTACTTCATCATTCATAAGTTTCTGCATGAAAGCAAACTCTCGGAGTAGCCAATGAGAGGAAGATGAACCTGCTATTCAACAGTAAAACACCTGTGGGAATGTTACTATAAAGAAGTTCAGTCAAAAGCAGACACTTAACCCAGGGCTTTAATGTAGTATCATTTAGTAAGAATCTGAAAATAGTGAAGAGGACTTGGTGGGTAAGAAAAAAAATAGAGGGACACATCTTATGGAGTGGGCATTTTACAGCCTTAGGGACAAGTAACCAGCAAGTAAAATCTGAATGTAGGTGCCCATTTGAGAACTGATAATTGCTGGTCATTAGCAAATGTGTCATACATTTAACTAGGAAGCTCGGTTTTGTTTTAAACACTGAAAAGAAAAAAGAATGAAGGTGGTGTTTGTTTTGAAGAATTCTGCTAAATTACCTACAAAGGCAATGAACACTAATGATTTTACCTTGTCATTTTATAGCTCAGCAGGAAGAAAGCAGGCAGGAAATACAATGTCAAAGGAGAAAGAGGAAGGCAGATTATTGGATATGGCAACACTCCCCACAACATTTGCTTCAAGGAGAAACCTACAGACATTTTCAGGTCTTGCTAAATAACTGTTTATTTGCACTCATACATTTGGGAAAGTCTGCTACATAGCTAAGGTCACTGTGACCACAGAACAGTTGAGAAAGCATTGAACAGCAAGAAAAATGCTTCCCCCCCCCCTAAAAAATTTAACTGAACCAGTGTTTTAAAAAAGATAAAATAAATGGGTATAGCCTTCACCTTTGACAAATCTACTTCCTCAAAATCTCCCCACTATAAACACTATAGAGTGTTTATGTAGTCAGTGCAAGGAACAGCATCATCAGTACAATTGAATCGAAACACCTCTAAACAGAGAATAAAGCTGAAACAACATCTGTTTCTGGATACATTTCAGTGTGGTGTAATAATGATCTTATTACACTAGTGATGAGGAAGAGGCTCTGATAGCACCCGTCTGCATTCCACATGAAAAAAACAAACCTAAAATCGCTTCTGAAAAACATTCAAGCCACATTAAAAAAAAATTCAACAGAACTGCTTTATTGTGTAAATTGAAGACATGACTGTTACATGAACTGCAAATAGACTTAAAATATTCTACAAAAATCAATAACTCATGCTGTATGTCACTCCTCACATAAATACTTTTAGCCTGTGTTCAATTACAGTCAGTTCTGAATTGGCCCATCTCTGGATTAGATTTCTAAAGTCTTTACACAGAATTAATGAAATGGAAAAAAGTATCAAAGTTTATATTCTGTCCTGTACTTTGACCCTGGAAAGGTATGGGTCTGCTAAAACAAAACAAAACAAAAAAAACCAGAAACATACATGTAATCACAATAAAGCTTAACACTATGCAGCGCTTTGTAATCATTTTCCGCAACAGACTGTAAGCTGCGCTGAAGAGACAATGCATAGCAGAGGAGAAAGCTGGGAACTGGGACTAGGTGAGGAACACAGTGTCAACACAGTGGACAAGTGATGGACACTCCTGCTCTGGAGCTCACATACCCTGTCAGCAATCCTCAAAAAGCCACCTGTACCCAAGGCCAAGTCCAGAGCCTCCTGTGCACGGAGTATGATCGCCCGAGTGCTGCAGTAGGCCATCTTCTCCACTAATGGCAAAGCTGTCTGGAAACCACAGTTCCAAGGGCTACAGAACACATATGGTCTAACCAACATCAAGTGAAAAGGTGTACTTTTAGGTATCTATTTCTAATACAACTTAAACAGAACTTTTATATAAATTTGGGCTTCCATCCAGTCCCTCCTCCATTTCCTTAGGAGGAACTGAGTAATGGAAGCAAGCAAAGTAACATCATAACCACAAATGTCTGCATTTTAAACATGATTATCAGTTTTAAGGGACAGAGACATCTGAATGTTTTTAATACCAAAACTTAAAAAAAAACTGTTATAAAAACTGCTATTTCCCTAGTATTTCTAAATGTTGGTGTTATTTCTGCTCAGACAGATTAATAAATTAAGCCAAAATTTTAGACTGGCAAGGTTTTATGATTCTATTTTAAAAAGGTGTTTAAAAACATAGCAAAACAAAATTACAAGTTAGTTGCTTTGTGTTACATTTCACAACCATTACATTAAATGTTTTCTCTTCTACAGAAACAGGGTCCTTTCTTTATGTCACAACTGCAATTATTTACTGCTAGATGTTTAAGGACACAGACTAGTGTTCAGCTGGAACCTGTTGATGGTGACGTCGGAGGTTTCTGAGTGTCAACCTATGGTAGGCCAGGTCCTCTCCTAGGACCACACTTGCAAGGGAAGGGGAGGGAGAAGAAATCACAGCAAGTTCTCAAGATTGTTTCACTCTCTTCGCGGCTTTCTGTTTCTTGGTGATCTGTTCAAAATTTCATCCTCCTATTAGTGGAAAAGAAGAGAAATTTACTGTGAACAGCATATTTTTTGTTTGTTCTTTGCTACAAGGAATTGAACTCACAACCTCACACTTGCCAGACAGGTGCTTTGCTGCTGAGCTATATCCCCAGCCCAATTAGCACACTTAAAAAGACAAAAGTTAACCAAATATTCAAGATCTGCCTGGTAAATAACACATTTGAGAATAAACAGAAGAAAAGTTATTAGAAAAAAATGCACCACCAAGGCACACTGCCTCAGAAGTAGTGGAATTACAAATATTCTACTGTAGGGGCTGGGGATTTAGCTCAGCAGTATAAGTGCCTGCTTTGCAAGTGCACGGTCCTGAGTTTGATCCCTGGTACCAAAAACAAAACAAATATTCTACTGTAGTTTTTGTTCCTTTTCTTTTACAAAAATACACTCTTTACCTGATTTAATCCTAAACAAACTACTTGCCTACAGGGAGTACATCTGCTACATTTTGAGGATGAGACACCTGGAATTCTAAAGCAGACTACAGACAACCCCAGTGGGCTATAAATGACTGCTGCTGCTCCATCACAGATTCCCCTTACTGAACTGTAGAGCAACTTTCTATTGTGCAGAGCTCTTGCCTGGCATGCACAAGGCAGGGGTTCCGTGCCCAGCACCATTTTAAAAATAAAGTGAGATGTTGTCCCTACATTGAAGACCTACACTCTAGTTAACACAGAACATATCCACTGAAAATATAAACAAGATAGAAGCAGTGCTGATTTTTATCAGCAGGAAGAAAGTGATTTGGCTGGAAAAGAAGAGGTTTATATGAACGACCAGACTCAACCCAGAGGTTGTGACAGTAAAAAATTCCCTACAAAAGGGACTGCAGTAAAACAAGGGTACACACTTTGCTGGCCTGTTTCTCACTGCCATATGTCCAGTCTAGTGCAGTGGCTGGACTGGGATACCATGTAGTCCTCCTAGTCCTCTCTCTGTCTATCCATCTTTCTCTCTCTCTCTCTCTCTCTTTCCCTCTAACTGGTCTCCTTGATTCTCCCAACCCTGGAGAAAACACAGCAACCACAGTAAATGTAACCTGTGGTACCACTGTGAGCTCAGAAGCTCTGCACTGCAGGACATGCTAAGTCTACAGTGGCCCCACTCTCACCTGCAGCACCTTCTACTTTTTGTTTTGTGACAGTATCTCACTAAGTTATTCAAGCTGGGCTCGAACTTGCAATCCTCCTGCCTCAGCCTCCCAGTGTTGGAATCACCTGCATGAACCAAGCTGAGCTCAAGTTCTTTAACACTGACCCATGCCACCTTTCACACTTTCACTATTCTCGTGTTCTAACCTCTATAGCTTATTTAAGATACCGGGTCACATATTTTCAATGTCTGCTTCTTATTTTGTTTCCCTGTACCACACTTCAAGTTTCTCAAAGGCAGGGTACCTTTGGTTCACTAACAATGTGTAGCACACAGTAGGCATTTGACAAATGTGGTACTATCCAATAAATAAACAGATGAATCCATGGACAGCAGGGACAACAGTGTAGGATGCAGTGATTGTGCAACAATACTTTCTGAGGGGCTGTCAAGAAACAAAGATGAGACAAGACTGGTACAAAACTGAAGTTCCAGGCTGAAGGTTTAGCATCTGCCTGGCAATATGATGTTGCCGGTTCAATCCCCAGGAAAAAACAACAAAAAAAACTTTAAGTTCCTACCTTGGAAAACTTTTATTTCTCTCTACAGTTTTTTGCTTATGCCACAAGACCATTTTCATTTCAGAAAAATATTTGAGATTCAGATGTAGTTTAAAATTATCAAATAAAATGTTGATCAATAACAAGAATGTACTTTAACAAAATTGTCTCTAAATGAATTTTTTACTGTCACAACCATTTTAAACTACTTGTGAAAATATTCCCTTTCCTTAAATGTACCTTCAAGCTTAGCTGCTTACAATAAAAGATATTACTCTCTTTATTTTACCTCTGCTTTAGGTTTTCTATCTTCCTCCTCTTGACTAATAGTGCCACCATCTTCTTCAGCATCACTTTTTTGTTTTTCTTCTGAAACAGAAGTTGAAAAGGCTAAACTGAGAAAAATCTCACACACTTGGTTTTGGTAATTAAGACAACTAACATCATCTAAAATTCTCTGTTTATCAGGGTTTGAAATTAACACTTCAACACTCATGGCTTTGTTTGAAGGCTCTGAAGGGACAACTTACCAAGCTTCTCCTCCCCTTCCTCCTCCTCGTCTCCCTTGTCCTTCTCTTCTTCCTTCTCTTCCTCTTCCTTCACATCTGGTTGAGGAGCATCAGTCTTCTTGTACTCCATAGCAGTGGACTGTTTCTGAAATATTCCCCCAGAAGCCCAGCAATTTTATTTACATTTTAATGTGTTATGTGATCATATAATTACTAAGTGCCTACAGAAAGTTCTATAGCAGGCTGTATACAAGGGTAGATACAGAAACACGAGGAAGATATTGTATCCTGAAGAGCTTTCTCTTAAGTGAAGGTGTTTGTGGTCCAAGGTAGAAGAAATAGTGAGAACAAAAGGTAGGAAAGTGCAGGTTCAGCTTATCAAGCCGATTGAGGAAGTGGAGATAAGGCTGGAAAAGGACTTTCAGACCTAGTTACAAAGCCATATAGAGCCCAGGTGAAGCATGATCCTCAGGTATGGAAGCAGACAGCTTGCAAAAGAGCTAAACAAGAAAAATTCACAATGAGGCCCACACATGTATTGTTCTGAGAAGATGGGCAGAGTTGGGGAGCAATGAATGAAAAATGCAAGATCTAATGACAGAGTGTAAGGATAGAAATAGCAATGGCAGAGGAAAAGCTGGTTTGTGCCCAGCTTTCTTTTCCCTCAAGGAAAGCTGCACCAAATTGTAAGGAAAGCAGTAGTGTGGACTAAATACTACTGGCAACTGGGTGAGGGCCTGCAGGTTCTACTCTCACTTGGAGCAGATGAATGCAATGAATGAATAAGGTTTCTGAGTCAATTCAACATGTGGCCCACTCATTACCAAGCTGCTACACAGAAACCTCAGGCAAAGTATCTGTTATTTAATGTCTAAAAGTGACTCCAAAAAAACACTCCTACCTTTCCAGAACAGCAGAAGAGGATGACAAGGAACACAGGCAAAGCTACAGTCAAAATGTAGACCACCCAGAGCCATGGGCGCTCCTCGGCTGCCTCAAGCATCTGTCCCACGACACCTGGCTGAAAAACAAGGCAGCAGTGGTGCAAAGTTGAGTCTGACCCCAAACACAGTGTACAACTTAGTCGCCCTTTGGTTATGGCCTAGCACTAACATAGGCTTCTTCTTTTCGTGCCCAAATGAAAAGAAGGTTAAAGTAAAGGCCCCATTTTCTCATTATCACAGGATTTTATTTCCACAAGTTAAAAAGCTGGCTTCTTCATCAACTACAAAGGCTCCCTTAACTCAGAAACCAGTGTAAAGAGTTTCTGGCACTGATATGCAACCGAGGCAGTCAGTGGTGGCGAACTTATAACACACATGCCATAGTGGGGCTCTTTTTATTGTTATGTGATTTTTTTTCTGTCTTTTTCATTCATTTTTATCGGTACCAGGGATCGAACTCATGACTGCCTGCTTGCAAGGCAGGCGCTTATGCCGCTGAGCTAAATCCCCAGCCCCTCACAGGGGGGCTCTTAAAGCGCTAAAAGATTTGCCATCACCAGTGTAGACACGTGCTCCACTGCAAAGCTACAGCACCAGCCTTATGAAGATGGGTCTCCCTTGAGACAGGGTCTTGTGATGCAGCTAACTGGCCTCACATTCTTGATCCTCCTGCCTTTGTCTCCTAAGTGTGTGTTACCACATCCAGTAAGAATGTCTTGATCAGGGCTGGGGATTTAGCTCAGTGGCGTAAGCACCTGCCTTGCAAGCAGGCGGTCATGAGTTCGATCCCCGGTACCGGAAAAAAGAAGAAGAAGAAGAAAAAAAAATGTCTTAATCTCAGGATCCCTAGCCTTCTAAAACTCAGTTCAGTCCCATGAATGTTTGAAAATTCTGTACAGGAGGGCTGGGGATTTAGCTCAGTAGCGTAAATGCTTGCCTGGCAAGTGTGAGGTCGGGAGTTCAATCCCCAACACCCAAAAAAAGAAAAAAAGAAAATTCTGTACAGGAAAAAAAGCCAAAACTTGACACCTGAAAACTGCATTAAAACAAACCCTAAATGGCAAATTTTGACATAACATTTAAAAACCCAAAAAACCTTGCACATAACACAAACAAATTCTAAAGTCAGTATATTATAATAAAACCACATCCAAAAACCCAATATTTTTTCTTTAACAGGCATACAGTTACTTTTTTTATGACAATACCCCCTAATAAGGGAAAAAATAAACCCCAAAAGATAGCCTTTCACAAGACAATGAATTACCGATAACAGAGGGGACCCAAGAGACAAGAACAAACCTCAGCAGCCCCATCAGCAGCTTTCTTCAGGCCCCAGCCATCATTGGCCCAGTCATCAACCACTGATCGCTCGCTGCTGATGATAAAGTTGTCAAAAAAGATGTCAGAAGTCATGGACCACAGCTCCAAACCAATGGCGCTAAATGGAGTCATCTTGAAAGGTTCTAGATCCTCAAAGAAATCTGGATTCGGTATTTTCCTGGGTTTCCAGATTCCCTTCAAAAAAAAAGTTCCAAAAAGTTATTTCAGGTAATGATAACAAAAACTATAACCAGTGCTGGTAAACACTGATTTTTTACAAGTTTTTTGAGGTAAGGTCTTGGTATATAGTCCAGACGCCTTGAACTCACAGCCATCCTCCTGCGTCAGCCTCCCAAATGCTGGTGTCTGCCACCATGCCCATAGCTATTTTTTTCAAACGTACTTTGTCTCCTAGATTTCTAGACTCCAACTACTTTCAATTTTTAATATCTGTGACCTTGTTTCAAACTTATACTTTCATTTTACCCCATCATTCCAGGAGTTGCTACTCTTCTCAATGGCTACTTGGAGTAGGAGCCTATATCAGCACAGATTTTTCTCAGTGGTGATTTAAAATAAGACACATGTGATCTTCAACCAGCAATTCTCTTCTGGATAACCACCTCAAAAGTACTGTGTATCCCCAGAAGGTAGAAGGATGATTACTGACTACTGCACTGAATCTAAAAGCAAAAGTGGCAGTGCACATAAATGGCCACCAACAGAGCAACTATTCAGCAGGATTTTTTTTTTTTTCTTTTTGAGACAATATGCACTATGTGGCTGTAGCAGGCCTTCAGCTCACTTTGTAGCCAAGGCTGATCTTGAATTTGCAATGATCTACCTGCCTCAGCCTCCCAAGAGCTGGCATTACGAGTTCACCACAACACCCGGCTTACTGCAGGATTTTTAAGTGCAATTTTTTGTTTGTTTGTTTGTTTTTGTATTTTGTTATTTTTGAGACAGGAAGGGTCTCACTATGTAGGTCAAGCTGGCCTTGAACTCATTAGGGAGCGTAGGCTGCTCTTGAACTCACCGTGATCCTCCTGCCTCAATCTCCCTACTAGGATTACAAGCATATGCTATTATACTCAGTCTGGTTTTTTTTGTTTTTTTTTTTTTTTTTCTTTTTTTGGTCTTTTTCCTTTTTATCGGTACTGGGGATCGAACTCACGACTGCCTGCTTGCAAGGCAGGCACTTACGCCGCTGAGCTAAATCCCCAGCCCTGTTTTTTGTTTCTTGCAACACGATCACATTGTGTAGCCCAGGCTGGCCTAGAATTCACAATTTTGCCTGAGCCTCCCAAATGTTTAAATGTAACTTTTATTTTATCTTTTCTGATATGAATGATATGTACAGCGTACATATCAGTACACAGAATCAGGGCCCGGTTTAGCCAACATGGAGACAAATGATCTTCTGTTGTAAAAAATACATTTTACAACGGAAAAAAACATGCATATAGACAAACTTATGCTTAGAATTTTTAAATTCTGACAGAGATGTGAATGAAGGATAATTTTCCTAGGTTAGAGATGGCAACAGACAAGGATCTGAGTGGATGCACATTCCCACAAAGACCTGGAGCTTCATATAGTCACTAAGTGTACGTGTGTCAGCTCACGTGTCCTTAGGCATTTCACTGAGACTTCGATATGAGTGAGCTAAGAGTCTAAAGTGTCGGCTCCTATCACAGTCCTTCACCCACCATGTCACACTGATTGCCACTCCTGAGATAATGGAGCCTGTGGCTGAAGGACCCTGTACCACCTGACAGCAGGTATCCACATTACAAGCTTGCCATTTCTCTTTTCGTTTTTAAACTTGCTTCCTTCTGTCTTTAAACACAAGTTTACAGAGGAATTACGAGGGCTGTCTCTCAGAATACTCTTGCTGAAGGGCACTAACATTCAATCCAGGGCTATGCACATGCTAGGTCAGTTCTACCACTGAGCTGTGGTCCCAGCCCTCTTGTATGAGACTTGTGAGACAGGTTGTCACTAAGTTGCCCAGGCCACCTTCAAACTTACAATCCTGTCTTGATCATCCAAGCAGCTGAGACAACAGACATGTAGTCATGCCCACATGCCTCCCTACTTTTACACCTCCTCACCCACTAAGCTCTCTCTTTCTTTTGGTGGGACTGAGGACTGATGCAGGAATCTTCACATTGAACTACATCTCCAGCCTTTTTGTATTTCTTTTTTTGTCTTACCACCTAGTTCAAATTGGTTTCAAACTCAAAGTCATCTGCCTCAGCCTCCTGAGTGCTGGGATTAACAAGCATGAGCCACCATGCCCACTAATTTTTCTTTTGGAGACAGTATCTCACTAAATCACTAACTTGCCCAGGCAGATCTTCTAGCCTCAGCATCCCAGAGATTTGCTGGGATCACAGGCCTGCACCACCATGCTCACTTACTTCCTGCTTAGTTCAACAGTCTGAATATAGTGATCAACCTGGCAGCCACACTGCAGACAAAACTTCTGTCCAGATACAAACAGATTAATGAAAGCAGCTCAACCATCAAGAAGCACCAACCTGGTAGTTAGGGTTGTCAATCATAGGTGGCTTCCATTTGCCCTTGTAATTGGGGTTGTCAATCATAGGTCGCTGCCAGACCCCACAGCCAGGGGCAGACTCACATTTCGGGTTGGCAATCTGAGGGGCCTCCCATTCTCCATCCATGTCCTCATCCCTTCGGGAAAGCACACAACCAATTACAAAGAGGTTCTGGGGGCAGCACTGTGAACACATACCCTGCCTGGCAGTCCCCCAGAGCCAGGTGAAATGTTTTCTCTAAGTCTTATAGAGCACCACCTTCTTGCTTCTCATTTCCAGTAACAATAGCTTGTTGAAACAGAGGCATTGCAAAAATCATGATGAAATGCAATGAAACTTGTAGAGACCTCCTTTTAAGTTTGGGCACTTGGCTGTATTTATGTATTAACTTTTATTTAAAAAAGAAAACCCACGTAATTGAAAAAGTGAGCGCTAAGCCTCTTACCAGTCCTCTGGCTTTTCTGCATCTGGATCAGGTACATACTCCGGCTCATCATCTAACCAACCTTCAGGTTTCGTGGCCTCTTCGTCCGGAATCTTAGCAGGGGCATCCTCATCCCTTAAACACAAGAGGAAATACACCAATTACAGCTGCGCCGATGGGGAGAGTCACAGTACAGTCCCACTTCAAGGAGTTAGAGTAGTTTAGATCTTACTCTCAAAATTTTAAAGAATTCCTCTTCAGCGTGGTGGTGCACACCTGTAATCTCAGTACTCGGGAAGCTGAGGCACACCATGAGCTTGAGGCCAACCTTAAGGACCCAGTATCCACAATAAAGAAGTACAACTCAATAATTAAAAGATAACTAATTTTTTAAAAAAATATGTAAACCAGGCATGATAGTGCACACTTATAAGCACAGCTGCTCAGGAGGCTGAGGGACAAGGATCCCATGATCAAGGCCAGCCCAAGGGCCAGGCAGGACAGCACAATCCTGTAATCCTAGCCCTCCAGAGGCTGAGGCATGAGGACCAACATGAGCTGAGGCCAGTCTAAACTGCATAGTAAAACCCTGTCTCAAAAAAGAAAAAAAGAGGGGCTGGGAATTTAGCTCAGTGGCTTAAGCACCTGCCTGCAAGCATGAAGTTGTGCGTGTGATCCCCAGTACCCCCCCCCCAAAAAAAGGAGATATCTCTAGGATAAGTAGAAAGAAAGAAAGAAAGAAAGAAAGAAAGAAAGAAAGAAAGAAAGAAAGAGAAAGAAAGACAGACAGACAGACAACACGGGCGGGCAGGCGGGCCAGGAATTTAGCTCAGTGGCTTAAGTGCCTGCCTGGCAAGTGCATGGTTGTGAGTTCGTCCCTGGTACCAAAAAAAAAAAAAAAAAAGAAGGAGAAGGAAAGAAAAACGAACCCTAGTCCCTAGTCAACAAAAAAAACCCTAAGTATTTAGGAATTAACCTAACTAGAAAAATGAAAGATCTCTACAAGGAAAACCATAGTACTCAGAAAAAGAAAATTAAAGAGGACACTGGAAAAAATGTAAAGAGCTAAGTGCGGTGGCACATGCCTGATTCTTTGCAATTAGAAGGCTGAGGCAGGAGAATGGATCCCTTGTAGTTCAAAACCAACCTAAAGTGCTTGGTGAGACCATAAGGAAGAAAAAAAGGAAGGGGGAGGGAGGGGGAAGGGAAAAAGGGAAGAAAAAAAGAAGGTAAGATAGGACAGGCCAAAAAAGGAAAAAGAAAAGATAGCCAGGCATGGTGGTGTATGCCTATAATCCCAGCACTCAGGGGGCAGGAGGATCACAGGGAGTTCAAAGCCAGCCTGAATTGCACAGTGAAACTGCAGTTCAAAAAGACAAAGTGTTAACATCACAAGTCATTAAAGAAATGCAAATTAAAACAACACTGAGATTCCATCTTATCCACAGGGAAGGCCACCATCAGTGAGTCAAAGAACAATGCCAGCAAGGCAAGGCTTGAGTTGGGCGGGGCCAGGGAAGAACACTGTTGGCAGCGGCATAAGCGCCTGCCTTGCAAGCACATGGTTGTGAGTTTGATCCCTGGTACCAATAAAAAAAAAAAAAAAAAAAAAAAAAAAGACTAAGACTAAAAAGCTAAAACTAGAAGTTCCACTTAACCCAGCTGTCCCCTTCTAGGCATCTTCCTCAAAGAGTTACAGACATCATATTACAGTGAGCCACACACACCCCTGAAAGCAGCACAATTCCTGACCACTGAATCTTGGAGGTAGCCTATGTGCCCATCAACAGATGGATCAAGAAAGTATGGTACTTACACACAAAGAAGGACTACTCTGCCATAAAGAAAGATAAGAAACTTGAGGGATTTGTGGGAAATGGATGTACTTGGAGGCCACAATGTTAAATGAAGCATCAGATATACAAGCTTAACTATCACTTGGCTTTTCTTATATGAGAAACCTAGATTATAGAACAAAATGTAACAGGAAGGAGGAGACAGATCTCTCTCAAATGAGAAGGGGATCAAGGGATGGAGGGAGAGACAAAGGGAACAGGAGGAAGGGAAATGAAAAACGAATCAAGATGTGGTGTGTCCATGCAAGGCAGGTTACATTATCTACTACAAATGTGGACTTAAAAATGAAACAGGAATAAGTGTCGGTGACGAGGTGCAGAAATGGAGCTCCTTTCACTGCTGGCGGGAAAATGAATGGTGCAGTTACTTTACAGGAGCACAGATCATCCAGATAGAAGTTCCTGTGTGGCCCAGGAATCTCGCAGGCAGGCACCAAGAATGAGGACACACATCTGTACGGGTGGGAACCCCACCAACTAAAGGAAAAGTAAGGAAAATGTGGTCCCATTTACACAAGGAAATATTCCCAAAGGGCTGAGACGCAGCTGCCAAGTGCCAGGTCCTGAGTTTGGTACTCCTGAGAGACAGAGAAATGAAGCGCACACAGGCTTTAACCCAGACGCACCATGAAGGCTGTGCTGACTGAGAGGGGTCAGACACAAGTGGCCACTGACTGCACTAATTCTGTTTACATGCGCTATCCTGGCAGCAAATCCAGAGGCACCCAGCAGATCTGGCTGCTAAGGGCGAGGAACAAGATGGCAATGGAAAGACTCCGGAAAGGTAGGGGTGCTGGGGACAACAGAAACACCCTGAAATCAGCGAGTGTGATGACTAGGTGGCGCTATCAAATACCAGCGATTCCAACAAGGACCTGCACTGGTGCTTCCCCTCCAGGATCACTCCCTGCTCCTATGAGGAACTGGCTCTGGGGCTCTGCTCACTTGCCCTCCTGCTACCCATGCTCCCCACTGAGCCCTGGCCACCCACAGACAGCAAAGCACGCAGTGGAGACCTGAGGGAAACCCAGTTATCAAGAGGGGGGTTCACCAAAGCTGAGGAACCAGTTTTCCAGCTGGTCAAAAAGTTGTCCCAGACAATTGAAAATCAAATGAGAGAAAAACAGGGCTTCACAACTGGAATCTGTGAACTTCAAGAGTTCCTTAGTTTAATAAATATATGCTTGATTTTAGCCTCAAATTTCCCCAAGCTATTTAAATTGAAAAGGCTTGAACTCTGTGACAGTAAACTCTTCTAAAGTTTAGATTCACTAACAGAAAAACTTCTAAACCTCACACACATAAACTTCTTGAGTGGAAATAAACTGAAAAACAACAGTATCCTGAAATCTTTGAAAAAACTAGATTGTCTGAAAAGCCTGGATCTGTCCAACTGGGAGGTTGCCAACCTGAGAACCTATGAGAGATGGACAAGATGACACAGAGGGCTGGGAAGCTCCAGACTCACACAGAGGTGGGTGGGGATGAGGAAGAGGAAGGGGAAAAAGGGAAACATGAGGACAGTGAGGAGAAAGAGTCTGATGAACACGATGGAGACAGAGATGGAGAAGGGGGAAAAAATGAAGTCGGGAAGAATACAGACAAGATAAGCTGATAAAAAGGTAGAGAACAAAGGAAGAAAATGGAAAACATATAAAGAGCATTAGAGAAATAAAGATATTAAACAATTTTAGAAAAAGATGATTAACATCCCAGATAACCTACAAAAACAGCACTATTCTTTGGCTGACCTGCTCATGAATTTGGTAGCTGTTTTTAAAAAGGGGAAAGGGTGGGAGATTTAGCTAAGCAGCATAAGCGCCTCCCTGATGAGTGCAAGGTCATTAAGTTCTATCCCTGTACCCGCCCCCCAAAAAAGCTGGGCATAGTGGAGCACACCTGTAATCCCAGCACTTGGGAGACTAGAGGATCATTTTAAGTAGCCTGGCTACAAAATGATCAAAAGGCCAACCTGAACTGTATAGCAAGATCTGTCTCAAAAAGACCAAAACAAAATCAAAGGTACCTGTGATACAAACCCCAGGACACCCACCACCCAGAGTCAAAGAATGGTTACTGTGACATCCTGCCTCTTGGGACTCCATCACCACACTTGGTGACTGTGCCCCAGCAAAGCTGTGAATGTAGCCTTGTCTGTGTACTCTGTGAGAGGCCTGTTGTGGCCAGATTAGCTGTAAATGGTGAGTCCGCAGCCTGTGGCTATCAGGTACAACACAGACTGTAATGACACTTTAGCTCTTTGTATAAGCAGCTTTGTAATAAAATCTTAACATTAAAAATGTGTATGATTTCAAACTTTTGTGTAACTGCTGTGAGACAGTGCCACTTTGGTTGCTAACCAAAGACAGCCTTCTATACTTGATCAGCTTGTAGGTTTGTTTTTTTGATGCTAGAGATTCCTCTTATGCTCTACCACTAAGCAAGATGCCCAGCCCAGACGGGACAGATTCTCATTATGGAGCCCAGACTGGCCTTGACCTGGTAGCAATCATCTTGACTCAACCTCCCCAGTGCTGGGATTACAGGTGTGTGCCACCATGCCCAGCTCTCACTTCATCCTATAAAGTACTCACTATCCTAGCTCCCAAAACAAAACAGCTAGTTAGGGCATACTATAATGAATGAGGCTGAGTCCAAATCTAATGTTCATCATATGCACATATCAACAGCACTTAAACTAGTGCATCATAAAAGTTCAGAAGTAAGATTTAACTAAAATTAGGGGCTGGAGGTTTAGCTCAGTGGCATAAGCGCCTGTCTTGCAAGCCGGTACCAATAAAAAGGAACAAGACAAAAAAAAAAAAAAAAAAAAAGATGTAACTAAATTTAACAAAGCAGAGATCTTGAAGTATTTACAGAGGAAAAAGATGGTTTTTCAAATGAAACTTTGACACTTAGAGACTGTAGTATGATAAGTGAGTTCAAGGCTGCGATGGTGGAGCACAGTTTTAGCACACACAAGCTTTTGGCTCAGTCCCTCCACCAAACAACGACTGCAAATAAAATAGCCCCGGAATGGTTGGGCTAAGCGACTCTACCACAAGCACAGTCTATGGCCAGCCTCAGCATTCTGCAGTTTATACAGCAGCGAGACAATCTAGATGATCACCATGTCCCTCTTTAGCTAGAACAATCTGTGTATCTTCTCCTGGAGAACCGACTGTACATTCTACAATGTGTGAACGTACGGTCGAGTCGCAGGCCCCAGCATTTCCTTGTCCAGGCCATGTGGGAAACACCGAGGGCCTCGTTATCTTCCAAGCTGGCTTGCCAAGACTCACCAGTCATCTGGCTTAACAGCATCAGGATCCGCTATCTTAGGCCGCTCATCCCAGTCTTCAGGCTTCCGATCTTCCGGGTCCTCAATTTCTTGTGATGGATTTACAGGAGGTGTCATGTCATTCAACAAATTCCCACTGTTCACGACAGACTGGTCAACTAGTATTTCAAAACTATTATCTGGATTCAAGACTGTAAAGAAGAGAAATGTAATTAATTCATTTAATTAACCACTCACTCCCAACCTCCAGTCACCACAAAATAAAGGAGCATGACTTCTAATGAAAAGCAAGGGCGCAGAAGCATGAAGAATGGCACCAGGCACTGGGCTCAGAACACAGCTATAGTGCTTGCCTCCTGGGGTCTTTAGTTTTTTTTGACGGGGTGGAGGTAGTCTTCAAAATAGCGCCTATGCTGTCTAAACGGGCCTCAACTTGTAATCCTCCCCACTTTGTCTACCAATACTGTGATTACAACTATTCCTTATTTAACAACCTACCTGGGTACAACCGTTCAGACTGATAACCTGCCTGGTTTTGTTTTTTCTGTTTTGGTACGGGGAATCAAACTCACAATCTTGCGATTGCCAGGCAGGTGCCGTGGTGTCTGTTTGTTTTGTACAATTCTGTACATCTTATTTATAGAGGAATCTCAGTATCTTTTTTTGTAATTATACCTTTATATGGTACTATAATTTTTACTGATTGTATGGCACAATACTACAGTTCCATGTTCTGTTATACAGTATAGTACTGTATGTAAGAGTTATGTGAGTCAAAGCAAAGTCATCAAATTGGAGTTTTCTTTGACCGTTTCTTTGTTCTGAATATTGTAATATACATACTATATACAGTTCTTCCTTTAGCAAAGATGCATTTAACAACCTGGTTGGGAGACCATGTCTCAGTCATTAAACAAAGAGATCTATAGAGGCATGTGTAAATCACGTTTCTCAAGTTTCTAAGAATTTTATAATAAATGACAGTTAAAATTCTTAGCACCAAAACAACTCATTTCTGAGCACCAAAAACATCAAGAATCTATACAAACTAATGCAGTTACTGGTCTGACATGAATTGGTATATACCAGTCAGCAGTTAAATTTTTTTCTGTTCCTTTGTTTTTGCTTGTTTTTTGAGACAGGGTTACTATACGCATGTACACTATAGTCCAGGTTAGCCGGACTCACTATGTAGCCCAGGCTGACCTTGAATTTTCAATCCTGCCTCAGTCTCCCAGTGCTAGTTTTATCAACAATAATGAAATATATACTGCCATGAGAAAGATCTTCACATTCTTGTATAGTTAAGAAAGCAAGTTAAAGCAGCACTCAGGAAGGTGAGGCAGGAGGATCACCATGGGTTCAAGGCAAGCCTGGGGTTTATAGTAAGTTCAAAGCCAGTCTAACCCTCACAGTAAGATCCCATCACAAAAAAACAAAAGCAAAAAGAAAGCAAGATAAAGCCAAGTATGTCATCTAAGTGTGCCTGTCATCTAAGCTACCTGGAAAGGGTGAAGGGGGAGGATTGCAAGGTCCAGGTTAGTCCTATCAACTTAGCACGCACATATCCCAAAACAAGAAGGGCTGGGGATGCAGCTGGATTATAGAGTGGCCCTGGGCTCAAATCCAGCCCCCTCCTCTTCCCAACACACAAAAGAAAGCAAGTTCAACATATCTAACTTTGTATACAGTGCTACATGTCTTTATTTATAAAAATAGGAAGAAACACATGTTGCTATTCCAGACAATTTTAAGTATGTCTGCTGGCTTACTTCAATCCTCTAAATTTTTGTATCTACAGTATGTGTTGCTTTGGTAATAAAAAAAAAAAAAAAAAAAGTTACTATATACAAGGGAAGTTGCAGCAGGACTGCTGTGAGAGTTCAAGGCCAGCCTCAGCTACACAGTAAAGACACAGTTTTAATCAGTAAGTGGAGGAAGAAGAGAGGGAGAGACTAAAAAACTAAAAAATGATCCAGTGTCCAGGTGATTAGTCTTAGCTGTCCAGCTGTTGGAGAAAACGAAGAGTTCAGCTGAAAGACACTGCAGAATCTGTATCCATCTCCTGTATGTCCCACTGCCTAACATTCTCCTAGCGAAAGACCAAAGGATGAAAATGGAAAACGGGACTAGTGAAGGGGCTGTGAAAGCTTTTCTGCACTAAGGCAAGTGTTCCGCCACCGATCCCACCCCCAAGAGCTTGCTCTGCACTTTCTCGACCTCGCTCCTCAGCCAGCCTACTGAAGAGGGGCACTTTTTACACTGTAAAGTAAGCTTATCCCACCCCTAAGGCAGGTAAATCAAGGCTCATTCTCACAGTACCAGGCCTTGAACCTAGGGGCCTCAGACACACTGAGTGCTGCATTCCACATGCATCCCTCCACTAAGTACATTCTCTTCCCTTTTAAAATCTGAGTGGGTCTCACTAAACTGCCCAGGACAATCTCCAACTCTTCGTTGTTTTTTTGTTTCTTTGGAGCCTGGCCTGCATTACTATGCAGTTCACTATGAACTCAATAGACAGCCCAGTCTGGCCACAAACTCAGTGTGATCTTCCTGCCTCAACCTCAGGCCTGTCTCTGACTCCGGATTCTCCTGTCAGCCTCCTCTGTGTAGCTAGGGTTATAGGCAGGTACCACACCACATTAGCAAAAATCTTGTTGGTTGCAGACTTGAGTACTGCCCAGATACACATTCCATGCACTCAGTGATAAAGTCATAGTGCTTTAAACCTCCACCAATTGGCTTTTCTTACTTAACGTATAAAGATGGGTCTTCTTATCAGTGAAATAGGTCTTCAGGTCTGCGTCTGGCCTCTTAGCATGCTTTTCTTCATATACTCCTGTCTTGGGGTTTTTATGTCGGAAGATGAAGTGTAACTTATAGTCCTCTCCACATTTATCTGGACCAAACATGATCGTATAGGGGGTCTTGTCGTGAAACTGATCCTTCAAAAACAAAGATGAATTATTCTTTAAGTAGCTCTACTCAAAGTATTCAAAAGCAGCCTTTCAAAAGTATATGACATTTCCTTTTATAATTCTGAATCAGTCACAGTTAAAGGGAAAGCTGATTATGCTGTAAGGTTTTAGATACCACTGAAAAAGAAAAACCAGTAATTATCAGAAAATTTATAATACATTTACACGCTTAAGAAAAAAGTAATAATACACACATCTAATTAACTATTTATTTTTTTCCTCCCAGTACTAAGGAGTGAACCCAGGGCCTTTCCATTGAGCCACACTCCCAGTCCTTTTTATTTTGAGACAGTCTTGCTACATCACTAAGTTGCCCAGGCTGGCCTCAAACATAGGATCCCTCCTGCCTTAGCCCCCCAGAGTGCTAGAGTTACAGGTGAGCATCACTGCACCCAGCTGTTACTGCCGCTTTCATTAATTAAAAAAAAAAAATAGGTAGAGGTGGAGATGGAAGGGGAGGAAGAAGAGGAGGAGAAGACGACAACAAAGAAATAACTTAACAACCTAGCTAAAACTAAAAATTACACAACCCAGAAATCAGGGCCAAGATCAAAACATTTGAAAATAGCTTCAAAAGTCACATTTCACATATAAGTAAATTATTATCAGAAGCAATATTGCTAAAGCGCCTAAAGGTTTAAGCAACAAGGAGTTGGCCTTTATTTTCATAGATGTTACAAATTCTTTTTCCTCTAAGATTAAAAAAATAAAATAAAAAATAAGAGTGGCCAGCCACATTAAAGAAACACCAAGTACCTACCAAGCTGAGTTCCGGAGTTTTGGAAAGCAGTTTCACATATGCACCACCACACTCTATTCCATTCTGGAAATTAACCTCATACCTAATTTCAGGAAGGAAAGCAGAAAACCATGTGGCGTTCTTGAAGCACAAATAGCCCAGTCATGTTTTCTCGCAGGTCATGGTTTAAGAATGTTTTCACCTTCTATTACTTTTAGCTAGATGAGTAGTATTTCTTTTTTAATCTTATTTTTTTATCTTTTTGAGACAGGGTCTTGCTGTGCAGTGCAGGCTGGCCTTGGGCTCACTTTATAGCCTATGTTGGTCTCAAACTTGCAACAATCCTCCTGCCTCAGCCTCTCAAGTGCTGGGATTACAGGAGTGCACCATCACACCCAGCTCTAGCTAAGTAATAATTAATTTTTGCAAAACCTAGGCATTCATTCACTATCAGGAGAATGAATGACCAGTTTCAAAATATTCTAACAAGCAGGAAAACATCTTTAGAGTGCTTGCATTCACTTTAACAACCCTACTAAAATTTATATAATCTCAAACTTTTCAAATAGAGTAATGGTATCTGTTTCTTTCAATAAAATGAAATTTTCTAAAATTACCTGTTCAGGATAGTTTTTGTCAAACAAGCGCTCACTTACTGAACAATGAGAGGCTTGGTGTCAAATCCGAAGGGCTTGTTCAGCTTGGCCGAGATGGCATGATGCTTGGCCCGAGACACCAACACGAGCCCCTTATCTCCTGGCAGCTTCGTTTCCTTCATTTCGTCAACCTCCCACTGTCCTGCAAGACAACAGAAGAAGGCTCTCCACCCCTTCACAACATCTCTGACGGTCTTTTATATGCTAACTCACTAAACTCCAACTCTACCACCCTAATGAACTTACAACATATCCCACTTGGAACTGGGGATGTAGCTCAGTGGTGCAGTGCCTGCCTGGCAAAGCACAAGGTTGTGAGTTCGATCCCTAGTACCAAAAAAAAAAAAAAAAAAAAAACAAACCACACTCCACTTACCTGTGAAAGTTCAGTGGTAAGTATCAAGCACATGTATATTTGAAAAATAGGATGTAAGTATTTTTTAAAGTACAATATTATCCTTTATATCACTGCCCCATAAAAGACCTTCCATTTCTTTTTTGTTTTTTTGAGACAGGGTTTCACTATGCAGTACAGGCTGGCCTTAAACCCACTATGTATCCTAGGATGGGCTCAAATTCACTGCAATCCCTCCTGCCTCAATCTTCAGATCACAGTTGTGTCACCACGCCCAGCTCAACACCTTCCATTTCAAACATGAAGCACCACAAGGTGATTAAATAATAGGCTGAGTCCTACCACATCAAAGGCAACACAAAGAAGGCATAATTTCCAAGGGAAAACCACAAACCATGCCTCCTTTTAAATGACGAGTTTTCTTCCCCCTGTTACTCAGGATTGAATCTTGGGCTTCATGCTAGCTACATCCCAGCCCTTTTCATTTTGTTTTTGTTTTGTGTTTTGCAAAAGCGTCTTCCTACGCTGCTCATCCTGGCCTTGACCTCACTATGTAATCCAGGGAATCTGGAACTTGTGGCAATCCTCCTGCCTCAGTCTCCCAAATGAGAGGATTATAGGCGTGCACCATCACAGTAACCTTTTCTTCTTTTCAAGATAAGTCTTGCTAAACTGCCCAAATTGGGTTCAGTGTGTACTGCTCTTATCTCAGTCTCCCCAGTGCTGAGATCACGAGTGTGCACGCAATGCCCGGTTAAAGCTGTCCTGGTGACACCACAGAAACTCTGTGCCCCTCGGTCACTGCTGGATAGAGGCCAAATGGGCTTCTCTCACCATCGTACTTGGCAATTTCCTCATCAGTGTCGTCCTTCTTGGCTTTGGATAAAATCCACCTGTAATCAAGACAGACCCTCAAATTAAGATTCAAATGACAGTTCAATGAAGAAAAGGAACAGTGTAAATGCTCAGGAAAATGCAGGATCTAGCCTGGCTCCTTAGCCTAGTCTGCCACTCTACTTCCAACTTCTAAATCTGTCAAGCACAAACCTAAGAAAAAGCACCAATACTGTGAGATAATTCTTTTTTTTTTAAGGGTTCAAAAGAAAAAAAAGTTTCTACAAGAATAAAATCTAGGATGAAGAGGGGGAAGGACAGAATGGCAGCAAGCAGTCACAAGTTCTTTTGTTTTCCTGAATGGGTATAAACACTGCAGATATAAAAGCCAGACATTTCACCAGAAAAACACTGTCTGCCCGACAGGACTCCACAGTTCCATCTTAGTCCCACAGTGTTTGCCTCTTAACATTCTGCTCCCTAAGAAGACACTTACCCTGTCAGAGATCCTCTATCAAAGGATTCCGCAAAATAAACTTCTCCTGTTGGGATTGGAGCTTTGTAGGTAACCTGTGTTAAACATAAAAGGGAGTTAAAGTATTTTTAGATTTTTTTTTTTTTTTTTGGCACCGGGGATCGAACTCACAACCTTGTGCTTGCCAGACAGGCAAGCAACTTAAGCTGCTGGGCTAAATCCCCGACAGAATTTCTTTTCTTTTCTTTTTTTTTTTTGTCTTTTTCCTTTTTATCAGTACCGGAGACTGCCTGCTTACAAAGCAGGCACTTATGCCGATGAGCTAAATCCCCAGCCCAGAATTTATTTTCTTAAGCCAGGAATTTAGCTCAGTGGCACAATGCCTGCCTAGCAATGGCAAGTGTGAGGTTGTGAGTTTGATCCCCAGTAGCAAAAAGAAAAGAAAAACAAGTACAAGCCCTGGCCTGAATAGAATTTGTTTCCTTGGCTTGGTTTTAACTGTCACAAAACTTTCATAGCAATTCAAGATATAGCAAGGCTGCCTGAAAGATCATCAAGCGTTTTAGCAAACTTCGAAAAGGATCCAAGTATTACTGGGCATGGTAGTGCACACCTGTGATCCCAGCCCTGGGGGAAGATGAGGCAGGAAAATTGCCATGAGACTGAGAACCAACCTGGGCTACATAGTAAAATCAAGACCAGCCTAAACTATATAGCAAGATTGCCTCAAAAAAAATTTAAATAAAATTATACACACACACACACAAATACATACACATATGTACTATTAACTTTAAAAATGAACCAAATTTATCTTTTTTTTTTTTTTTTTAAAGTCTTTTTGAGACAGGGTCTTGCTATACTATTCAAGTTGGTCTTTTTTTTTGTCTTTTTCCTTTTTATTGGTACCAGGGATCGAACTCACGACCACCTGCTTGCAAGGCAGGTGCTTATGCCGCTGAGCTAAATCCCCAGGTCTTGAGCTCACTTTGTAGCCTATGCTGGTCTTGAACTCACAATGATCCTCCTGCCTCAACCTCCCAAGTACTGAGATTACAGGCATGTGCCACTGTGTCTGGCTTTATCAATTTTTATTCCATTCAATGTTGGGGACTGAACCCAACCCTTGTGCATGTGAGACAAACATACTACCACTGAGCTATACCAGTAACCAAATATCATCCTGATTTCAGAAGGTTAAGGAGAGCTGGATATGGTGGGCATATCTGGTAATCTCAGCACTCAGGAGGCCGAGACAGGAGGATTGCAAGCTTGAGTCCAGCCCAGGCAATTCTCAAAGTAAAAAGTTCTTTAAAAAGGGGTAGGGATATACCTCAGTATTAAAGCCCTAGGCTCATCAATAATAAAATTTTAAAATCAAACCTTTGGAGATGGAGGAAGACTGCTGGTATCTGGTTTTGATTTTGAATCTTCTACCTCTTCAATGACATCATCAAGATCATCCTCAATATCAATCATATCTTCATCATGTCCATCATGAGCTCGAACAGCAACAGCTCCAAGTGCCAGGAACACACAGAGTAACCACTTCCCTTCCATGACCTGCAAAAAGAGAAGTTAAACGTGCTGCTCCTATTTTAAATTTCACGTTAACTACTCACCACCACCAGCACCCAGCCCCGCCAAAAATTAAGGTTTCCAGCAGGCACGGGGCACACCATTATAATCCCAGCACTTGGAAGGCTGAAACAAGAAGACTGCCCTGAGTTGAAAGCCAGCCTGGGCTACACAGTGAGTTCAAGGGTAGCCTGAACTATGTAGACACCCTGTCTCAAAACAACCAAGCAACCAATCAACGAAAAATAAATAATTAAGGCTTCCAAATCAAAGAGCTAAAAGAAAATATTATACAAATAAGGAAAGTGAGCCCAGAAAGGTTGAGTGGTTTTCCTGACACCAGTTAAGATTCAATTTCAAGCAGGGAATGGTCCTGCACGCCTGCAATTCCAGCTACTGTGGAGGTTGAAGCAAGAGGACCAAAAAGTTTGAGGCCAGTCTGGGCAACTAAGCAAGACCTTGTTTCAAACTTTAAAAATAAAAGTGCTGGAGATACAGTTCAGCAGTTCCTGGATTCAATTTCTATTATCAAGCATACATAAAGATTCAACTTTAGGGGCCGGGAGTTTAGCTCAGCAGTGTTAAGTGCCTGTTCGGCAAACATGAGGTTGTGAGTTCAATCCCTGGCACCAAAAAACAAAAACAAAAACAAAAACAAAAACCCCAAAGATTCAACTTTAAGAAAATGCCAACACACATACGCATACCCGTCTCACACTGGCTACCATAGATCTCGGTCCTAACTGCCTGCATCTGTCAAGGGTTTCACAATGAACTAAAGCTCTATCACACACTCACACCGAGTACGGTAAAACATTACAAGCAAAAAGGAAATGCCTTGCTTCGCATTAAAGACTTATGGACACAGCTGCTGTTGCTCAAAAGCCACCAAGTGTAAATAATCTATTTTCCAATTAGGGTTTTAAGATTCCACAACAAAAATAGTAAACCAAGGCTCAGCCACTTTTCACTCTCTTCTAAGCACTCAGTCCCTCATATACATTAGGCTGTATGGTTGGTGATTGGGTCTTTTTCTAGGACCACAGATCTGCAGCAAAAACTAAGCCACATCACACACAACAGGATTTGGTAATTGGCGGATTTTGTTTTAGGGCCTGAGGAAGCAGAGGCTGGTGAAATAGAAGATATACAACAGCAAGTGCAAAACACACACATGTGCACACACTTAGTGCAGAGCACGAAGGAGCCTTTATTCTTTAATAGCTCTGTGACCCCAATTGACACTCACCTTTCCTCCTTCCCTGCTGCTAATACCAGAGAACTGACAGCTTATGTTACTACGGCTTCCTCTTGATTCTCTGAGGCCACCCTATACCCAAATAACAGCTTTGTCATGGCAACACATCTCTGTGTTCCAGGTAGCAATCAGTCCTTCACCTCAGCAAGCTATCCAGTGTTCCCAAGAACCCCTCACGCACCCAGTCATGACACTTCCCACCTCCTTCGCGAAACCAAGGTTCATTAATATTTTTCCCTTCTGCTTTCCTAAGACATGCCACAAGAAACAGGAAACAAAACATAGCAAAGCACCACCCCAAAATGCACATAAGTCTGGTGTGGAAGCACACGCCTGTAAACCCAGTTCTTGGGAGGCTGAGGCAAGAGGATCATAGTGAATTCTAGGCCAGCCTAAGCTAATGGTTTAAGTCCAACCTGAACTACATAGTAAAATCCTCCCACCGCCCCCAAAATACCTCTCAAGTTTGAAAACTTTTTAGAAATGTCTTTAGGGTCAACAGTGGTGGCTCACATCTGCAATCCCAGCACAAGAGGTTGAGAAGATAAGGCAAGAGGATCTCCACGAGTTCAAGGCCAGCCAGGGCTACGTAAGAGAGTTCAAGGCCAGTCTACACTACACAGTGAGACCCCTGCCTCAAAACAAACAAATGAAAAGTGTATTTAGGGTTCAGGTTGTGGCTCAGTAGTGAAACATGTACCTAAGAAGCCTAAAGGTCCTAGGTTTGATCCCTAACACTGCTGCAAAAAAATTTTATGAAGTTTTACTAAAAATGTATTCATGCATACTGTACAATAGTCATCAAGTCCTGACAGAGACAATAAGCTAGAAACCCTATGTATGGGGCTGGAGATTTAGCTCAGCGGCATAAGCACCTGCCTTGCAAGCAGGCAGTCGTGAGTTTGATCCCCAGTACCTATAAAAAGGAAAAAGACAAAAAAAAAAAAAAAAGAAACCCTATTGTACTGTGGATGGGACTATAAAAAACTAACTGCCATGCAAAAGTTGGCCCACTTCTGAGTATTGAGGCCAAGTACCTGGAAGTAGGGTCTCTAAGACCTAAGCTGCATTCCTACACACCCAGATCAACAGCAACACTATTCACTATTGCCCAGAGAGCCAGGTGACCCACACAGCGAATGTGGGGATAAGCAACATGTGATAGATTCATACAAGAACCCTGCTGAGCATAAAGGAAGCCCTGTCACAAGCAGTCTCCAAGTGACCCTTGGAGAGACTACGCTAAAGAACACAAAGCAGTTAGGAAAGGTCAAACGCCACACAACTCTACTGATAAAGTGACTCAAGCAAACACAGATCCAGAAAGTGAAACTCCTAACAGGCTAAGGGAATGTGTTAAAGGCACCTGCTGTTTAATGAGCACAGGGAGTTTCAACTCTGCAAAAGGAAGGTTCAGACCATCTGTTTCCCAATAGTGGAAATGTGCGCCACACCACTGAAGGGTCGGTCCACTGACACATGATTAACAACCTAAGTTTTAAGTTTTAGGGTGGGGTGGTGGCGCCACCTACCCCAGCACTATTTTTTGTGGTTGCTGTTTTATTAGTGCACATTGTTATTCAGTATGGTGTCTCACAGATTTAAGAAACAGTAAGAATTCATTTGCTCACTGGAAAGCACTTTCTTTTCTACCCTCAAAAATTATGCACTAGCCAGGTGTGGTGGTACATGTCTATTCGCAGCACGAGGAAGGCTGAGGCAGGAAAACTGCTCACAGAGTAAGTTCAAGGCCAGCCTGACTGAACCAGATAGCAAGATCCTGTCTCAAAGAGAGTCCCTAAAACTAAGTTACAGCTTTTAAAAATAAAACAGGCTGGGAGTCAATGGTGGAACACTTGCCTAGAACACATGACACCCCAGCATCACAAAGGCAAAAAAAAAAACAAAAAGCAAGAAAGTAAAGTAAAATGTGTTAAGTCTGGTTCTTGCTAATTAAATCACAAATGTTGAGACAGTTTTTCAAGAACAAGCTAGACAGAATGACAGCCCACAGGACTAGCTACTTGCCCTTAAAAAGCTAAAACTCCGGGGTTGGGGGTTTAGCTCAGTGGCAAAAGTGCTTGCCTTGAAAGCAGGCAGTCGTGAGTTCGATCCCCGGTACCGATAAAAAGGAAAAGGAAGGAAGGTAGGAAGGTAGGAAGGAAGGAAGCAAGCAAGCAAGCTAAAACTCCTTCTGCTTGCAAGGTCCACACTGCTATGGTCTGAAAAGGGCCCTGTGCTAGAGTCCTCAGCAGGCGGTGAGAGTTGTGCACAGGGAGAAGGCAGGCCTGCTGCCACAGAGCCTGCTCCGTCCCATGCCTGGCACTGGAGCAGACCGTCTGGAGATAGTTCACCTGGGCTGTTTTGTATTTTTTGCAGGGACTGCAAACTGAACCCAGGGCCTAGTCATCCATGTCTTCGCATACAGAGAATTCATACAAAACAACACAGTATAAAACTGATCTGAACAGAATGAGGAAGGCGATTTAGGTCTTCAAAACCAGACAAGTCACTGATGGCTGTCGTAGTTTCTCGTTCTCTTCTATATAGCTGTCCATGCTTTCATGTATATTGAAGTTGAACAAAACAAAACAGGTGGGGGGACGGGTTGCTTGGTTTCATGATGCTCCAGGTCCCAGTATGGCAAGGGTCCCAGTAAATGCCAGTGGCTCCCGTCCTGGGCCACTGGAGCCTGTCACACTCACAGCCACTCACCACATGGGTAGGGGTGGCTTGGTTTTCCAGCATTCCAGGTCCCAGCATCAGCCTCTTTATTTTTGAGACAGGGTCTTGCTAAATGTCTGAAATGTCCAGGAGGCAGGCCCTGAACTTGTGATCCTCCTGCCTCAGCCTTCCACAGCCGGTGAGGCCTGCTTTTTTTCTTTGTTCTTTTTGGTACTGGGGATTGAACTCATGACCTCATGCTTGCCAGGCAGGCACTTATGCCACTGAGCTAAATCCCCAGCCCCTAGCACAATGTATTTTAAGGTGATCTTAGTTCTCTCCATCACTAAAGAAAATTGGACATTAATGAAAAATCCCCTTTAGTATGTATGCTCCATACACCAAACATGGTCTAAGCAGTCACACTCACGTACCCCTGCTGAGCAGATGCTACAAAGGATGTTGGGCTTCTATGGTTCTAAAAATCATGGAGGAACCCAGACACAGTGGCACATGCCTTTTACACACACATTCAGGGAGGCTGAGGCAGGAGGACTACAAATCCTATCCCAGCCCGAGCAGCTGAAGATGCCTTGTTCCAAAATACTCATTAAAAAAAAAAAAAAAAAAAAAAAACTAGATGACTTTGCGTTTGACAAGGAGTTTTTTATGCAAGGTTAAAGACATACTATGTGAAAGAAAAAAATTACTACGTTCATCTTGTATTATTAAATTCAAAATCTTACTCTATGAAAAGGCAAGAGAATTAACAATCACACACCAGGAAAAAGCCAGGAGTGGTGGCACACATCTGCAATCCCAGCACTCAGGCAACTGAAGCAGGAGATAATACGGAGCACTGGAGGCCAGCCTGAGCTACACAATGAGACCCTGTCTCAAGAAAACAAACATTCTGAAAGATGTATCTAGTGAAGGACTTGTTTCGAAGCACACAAACAAGGCCAGGGAATACAGTTCAATGGCCAAATAAGATCATTAGTTTGATTCGTTGTACAAAAAAAAAAAAAAAAGAAAGAAAGAAAAAAAGAAAGCACAAAAAGAA